CCTGCTAGGGAAGTCCCCACTGCCCCTAGTATGGTGGCCTAACTTTGGTTGCTAGCGATCTCTAGCCCTTTCTAATACAGTGTTCCTCATTATTGATAGTTTAAATGTTTTACATACTTACACACTAGCTTTATGACAGCGATGACAGATTTTGTAGAGTATGTTTATATTCATTCTTACTTTATGAATTTCTGTCGTCACGATGTCGCTGAAACGTCGCAAATGTGACATAAAATTTTAACTCACTCACTCACATTCCCTAACACTGGTGTGAATTGGAAATCACCTATGTCCTGTCAAGTTGACCTAGACAATCTGCTTACGTTTTGTGTACATTGTGTCACTGAAGAGGACAAATTGAAACCCTTGCAACAGGTTTTTTGGAAGATATAAGATTCTGTCATCCTCATCCTGATAACATATTTGGCACCAGGTCAACAACACGCATGACTGGTATTCAGTTTGAAACACTGTCATCTGGTGTACAATTTCTACTAAATATCAAAGAAGGTCTCCTACTTGTCAACGACCAATACCAGTTTAGAACCATTTTGGGCCAGCCGGGTTGCCGGAACCGTCGGTGTTGTTCGCTCCAATAGGTTGGATTAATAAATGCAAATTCACGTCAATATAATGTTGAGAAGAAAAAGACGAAATGTTTAGGGCATGTTATTTTTAAAACATATCCGTTATAGCTGCGCCACAGTCACTGTACGTCTGTTGCTTACAGCCTGAATGTGTATAGGTCAGACTTCCTGTCATTCGGGAAAATGCACTGGACAGCATTTAAGAGCAATTGTTATTATTGTGAAATATATGTTTCATATCTTATATCGTTCCCGTCGCTGGCATTAAACGAACCCTTTTCATTCTCATTTGTTCTTTCTTCTGAATTTGCATTTCTCTGGTACTCGACATAAAGTACACGAAGTGCACATCGTCACAACATGAGGTATGAGACAAGTTGGTCAAACTGATATTCATGTACAGTGGACGCCCCCTATACCGACATCCCTCTCATCCGACATACCTGTAAACCGACATATTTATTTGGCCCCTAATCGTCCCTATAATGTCACGTAAGAAACACCCTATAATCCTACACCCCTCTATTCCGAATTCTAATTCTCAAATCCGGTCCCGAAACATGATTTTACTGCAAATTGTCTCTCTAAACAGACATTGTGATTTCACAAGATATTACATCAGCCAAAACATGGTGTGTATTTAGCAATCAACATACTGGCCTGCCAAGGATTAACTGTTAGTAACTTGCTAATTACTCACCAGCTTCTAAAGTGCCAATCAAACAGATAATTACTTGTTCAGTGGATTAATAAATTGGTGATATCACATGTTAAGTGGTTGTTATAAGTATCTAAAAACTCCCGCTAAACCGACCTTAATAGCTTTTTCACTCGTCCCGAGCGAAGTCGGTTTAGAGTGAGTCCACTGTGTGTTAAAAATGGGGAGGGCCGGGGGTGTCTTAAATCTTGAATGATTTGACTGACCATTCAAATTATCTTGTTAATATTAACTTAATCTGTTTTTATGCCACATAAACTTATTACAAAGTCATCCATTGATCATTTAAATTATCTTGTTGAATTAATGTATTTTTGTATGTCAAATAAATCCGTTGTCATTATCCATAATCTCTCCTCTTTGAGTTTAGATAAGTACATTTGGACTAGTCTATTAATTAACGAAGGTAACAGTGTAGTGAATCTCAGTGCAACCAACCATAACTTCTGTTGTTTTAACGCGTCTAACTTTTGGGACGTCTAACATTTGGGAGGACACCGCTGTGACCATTCTACTCCAACTTCTGGTAAGTCTATATCGGAATCTACTGGGTCCAGTCAGCACATTACTGACTGACTGGGCATATTCATCAACCACCTACACTGACAAACAGCAGTTGTGCAGATAGTTGTTCTGACGCGTCACCATCCATCCAATGAATGTGCAGATAGTTGTTCTTATGCGTAACGGAGCTTAAGCCACGATATATCAAATGTTAATAACAATCATAATAAGCAGTTTTTGCACAGTCGCAGTCTTACTAACACAGACACGCAGACGCAGATGCAGACGCAGACGCTTACGCAGACGCAGACGCAGACGCAGAGACAAACACAGCCACGACCAGGGAGGATCCCCGGCAGCACTAGTAGCGAGTATTGGATGGACTCGGTTGATTGCGAGTGTAACGCCGGGTGGAACAGGCTATTAAAGAAGAAATGGTCATGGTATTGCTTAAATGAAAAAAACAACCTCAAATCTTAAAATGTGCAGCGTATAATAGAATGTGTCATACCGCTCTGAACTGATAGCTCTAGCACGACGAAACCAGTTGGAATATAGACAGGCGACTCGAATATCAACTTGCTATAAATCACATGCTCATGTCGTCATCAAATCGCACAGTGTTCCAATGTTTGTGTCACGTATGACCTGTCTAAACACATACAGGTGTTCCATGCAGGTGTCATCCTTCACGGGAACTATGTCATGCCTAATAGACTGCCCTAAGCACCAGAAAAAGGCTCCCGCCGAATGCCGTCGTATGACTTTGGCTCTCACATGGGCGGTTAGAATTATATGTACCCAGAAAGACGCCATAAGTAAGTTATGTTGGGTCGCTGCACCCCTCGTGTTAAAGACAGGGCTTCACCCCTCATGTTAACAGCACGCCTTGTGGTAGCAACATATGCTGACACGCTATCAACAGTGGTGGTCTTATTAACTGAAATAATCGATCATGTTTTCTCATAATCGAGCACAAACAATTTTGGAAGTTATGGAACACGTGTTGGCATTAACAACATTTTTGTGGTTGAGTGTTAGGGTTAGGTTCAGGTTAGGTTCAGGTTCAGGCTCAGGTTCAGGTTAGGTTCAGGTTCAGGTTAGGTTCAGGTTCAGGTTCACTCACTCACTCAGGTTCAGGTTAAGGTTCAGGTTCAGGTTCAGGTTAGGTTCAGGTTCAGTTCAGGTTCAGGTTCAGGTTCAAGTTCGGGTTAGGTTCAGGTTAGGTTCAGGTTCAGGTTAGGTTCAGGTTAGGTTCAGGTTCAGGTTCAGGTTCAGGTTCAGGTTCAGGTTCAGGTTCAGGTTCAGGTTCAGGTTCAGGTTAGGTTAGGTTCAGGTTAGGTTCAGGTTAGGTTAGGTTAGGTTCAGGTTCAGGTTCAGGTTCAGGTTCAGGTTTAGGTTCAGGTTCAGGTTCAGGTTAGGTTCAGGTTAGGTTCAGGTTAGGTTCAGGTTAGGTTCAGGTTCAGGTTAGGTTCAGGTTAGGTTCAGGTTCAGGTTCAGGTTAGGTTCAGGTTAGGTTCAGGTTAGGTTCAGGTTCAGGTTCAGGTTAGGTTCAGGTTAGGTTCAGGTTCAGGTTCACGTTAGGTTCAGGTTCAGGTTCAGGTTAGGTTCATGTTAGGTTCATGTTCAAATTCATGTATTGAGGGTAGTGTTAGGTTGAGGTCAGGTCAGGGTTATGGTGAGGGTGGGATTGAGATAAGTATCAGTATTGAGGTTTATGTCAGGGTTAGGGTTAGCTTTAGGGGTTAGGGGTTAGGTGTTCGGTTTACGGATTAGGTGTTAGGGTTTAGGGTTTAGGCATTAGGGTTAAAGATTAGGGTTTCTGGTTAGAATTAAGGTTAGGGGTTAGAATCAGGGGTTAGGGGTTTAGGGTTAGGGTTAGCACCTGTATGTAGTTTTCATCTAACCCTCAACTGGGAAAAACGGTATGCACAGTTCGTACCTATTCCTTATCAAATGTAATCTCCACTCGTGTCTGCTGCAGGCTGCACATTAATATTTGTTCTCGCACGGCTCTCGTACACGATTAAGTCTGGGGCCATATGTGTGGGGTAGCTAAAGATGACGTTCATATACAATATATGCGCGTGGGTCGTTTATCCTTGATCTGAGCAACAGTTTGCAGGCCACATAACTCATCACCAAACCCACCCCTACCCCACAAGGGTAGACTGTAGTCTAAACTATGAAATCTATTCCATCCCGATACATTTCCAGCACAGCCCAGTTGCAAGCTTTTCTCTGGCCGCTACCCTACCTCCGTCAATCTGTCGGACGTAAGTTTGCCGCTTGTTTGAAATTATACCTGAAAATTGGCAGGCGTAAAGACAAGTACATTTTATGTCAAAGGAATAAACAGTTGAAAAAGAATCACCCTCTTCATTCTCGATCGCTGTCTTTCATTAACGGTAAACCACCCACGCTACGGCGTTGGCTACCTGTAATACAATCTACGTATAACACGTCACAATTTAATTCTGGACTCACAAAAGTCATAAATACATGCCAAGGATGAAAAAATGAAAAAAAAATGTTTCGAAAACTGTCAATTTCAACTCGCTCGCCGATGGGCCTGCCCATGGGCGAACAGTGGCCCATGGGCCTGCCCATGGGCGAGCGAGTGTAAATTTAAAGTTTTCGAATATTTTTTTTTGCATTTTTTCATCCTTGGCATGTATTAATAACAACTGCATGTTCCATAGTGTTTTATATAATGACCAATCAGCCCTGGCAAAGTTCCTCCTGGATAAAGGTGGATCATCTCCAGGGCTTATTGTTTTGAGAATGGTGGGGAAGTGATCACTCCCACATAGGTCATCATGGACCATCCATTCAAATTCATTATATAAAATTGAGTCAACAAGTGATAGATCCAGGGAAGAATATGTTCCCGTAGCTGGATGTAAATAAGTGGCTGAATCGTCATTGCAGATGCATAAATTATTGTCAGAAATGAATTCCTCGATGATTTTACCTTTATTAGTAGTATGGACACTTCCCCAAAGTGGGTTGTGTCCGTTCAGATCACCCATGATAATGCAAGGCCTTGGAAGCTGATCGTACAGACTCTGAAGATCTGATTTTCGAACATTAGACGACGGAGGTATATACAAACTGCACAGAGTCAATGCAATGTGCAGAGTAAGTCGAACAGCTATAGTTTGAAGATTCGTCGCAAGTGGGACAGGGCTATGTATGACACCCTGCCGCACCAAAATGGAAGCACCTCCTGTAGCTTTATCTCCTGGAGGAGAGAAGGAGTGGTAATCACTGTATCGTCTTTGATTAAAAATATCGATATCTTTGAGATATGTCTCTTGAGACATATTGCTGACGGTTGGAAATCTTGTAATAATAACTGTATCTCGTTGAAGTTATTTTTGAGTCCTCTGCAATTCCATTGCATTATCGTGGACAATTGATTCATGGTGCCTCTATAGGGGATCTTCCTCGGGAATGCGAGGAGGAGTAGCTCCTCTGCCTGTCCTGAGAGGACAGTGTCACCTCCATGTCCAGAGGTCCAAATGGGTTCTCTAAAGGAACCTGCAAAGGTAAAGGGACAGTAGGAGCTTTGTCTTTGTTGATTTTCTTTCCTTTCTTCTTCTTAATTTTATCTATGTCTGGTTTTGAAGCTGACGTTTTGAGATGTTGTTTCGGTCTGAATGTCTGTTTGGGATCCAGAAGTAGAGTGTGTAACTACCGGAGAAGATTCACGAGCTGAAGCTGAAGCTGTAAGGGTAGGCTGGGTTGATTTTATCCAAGTCAAGTAAGTTTGACATGAAATGGAAGACGTTGCAACTAGGCGACTGACCGCAGCAGCATAGCTGACATTTGACGGAGGTGAAGTTTCAGTTGTTAACAGTTTTTTGGCCTCAAGGTATGAAATATGTTTTTCACATTTTAGTTTCATAATTTTAGATTCTCGTTGAAAAACAGGGCAGGATCTTGATGAAGCAGGATGTGCACCATCACAGTTACCACACTTGTAATTTTTGTCACAGTCAGAGCCGTCATGGTGATCACCACAACGGTGACATACAACAGTGTTACGGCATGATTTTGACCCGTGTCCAAATTGCTGACATTTGTAACACCGGAGTGGATTGGGGATATACACATCCACTCCGATGTTAAAAGTGTGAAATTATTTTCGTTCTTTAAGTGTTCCAGCCAATATAGTCATTTGATTTTAATACGTATCAAGAAAGATGTTATATCCGAATGTATGCACACACATTCACACAAAACATACGTAATTTGTGAGTTCTGTTCGGACGAAAAAGAAATATCTAATTTGATCAGAAATACTGCATAAATTATCTTTCCTCCTTCTGAGAGAAGCATGGTATTATTCGTTAATTTGAAATATTTTTATCTGCATAAAAGAAGGGATTATTAAAAAATCTGAAACAAACTTCCGTATACATGTACTACCATTTCACCAAAATTGCGACATTGACCTTGGAATCATGTTAATTTCAGTCTGATTTCAATGTCATAATTATGCGAGGTTCCTCATTCACACATTCATACAAACTGACAGCTCAACACAAAACAATATGCAACCAACCAAATTCAATACAATGCATCTTTCACCCCCTTTGCATACTACACTGTTGACGAATCTCTCAGGTGTGTTAGAGCGATAATCACATCGCGACATGTTTAACAAACCTACAGCTCAGCAGATCTAAATAACTTACCTTTTTAATAAGTAAAAGCAAGATTTACGGATGCCAACTCTTTATGTATAATAACACGACGTTTCGAAGCGTATGCTGACTCCTTCATCAGGTGAAAATCAAGTCACAATACAGAAGTTGACATCCATAAATCTTGCTTTTGTTATGCATTCCACTTCTAAATGCCCTTCAAAGATGTAACCTACTTCCACAGGCTTCTTTGAGAGGCATAGAAACTTGGGTGCATTCTCTTTTTGCCTACACTTTAATTGGCTATAAGCGGATTAGGGTTAATAGTCCAGTGCCTGCACAATTATAGTCTGTTAAAGTAAGTGGAGTTCAGTACCCACTCACCACCAAGCTCACTAGCCGACCACACAGAACACAGTTCATAAGGATTAGTCAACTTAGTCATTAAAAGTAATCAAATATAACATGATCCAGGCATGGGGTTATAAAACTGCTCCATCTGGTGGTATTGTGAATGTGATTATGAAACAAACTATACACTTCATATTCATTTAGGTATATTTGTATACATACCATATTGTGTATGCATATGATGTTATATGCAATATTAGTAAAATTAAGAATGTCAGCATATTTTCAAATAACTCACATTCGTATATTTACTATTGCTATATGCAATAAACTTGTTTTTTTCTTCCAGGGGCCGTCATAACTGACTTCTCTGACTCATTAATTAACATGGCAGTACGTCTTGTTAATTGGTGAATCTTAACTGCCTTGACCCGCTCATCATCAATTGACAGGGGATTAGGTCTTGGGGCGTGCAAAGAACAATCATTTACCATCACCCACCAGTTATCTCCCCTTGTGGACATTTCCAAAATTGGAAATTTTTGGAAATCTCATATTTCCCAAAATTGGAAATATCTTGGAAACATCATCTTTCCAAGACATTTCCAAGCTTGTAAATGTGGACTTTTTTCAAGTGTTTTTGTTTTTGTGTACTAGTTTCAGATCTATATCTGTTACCCACTAGTTCTTATACTTGAAATCTGTAAGCAACTTAATGTACACATTGTACATGGTCATGCTGTGACCGATACACCCAGTAACTACATATTTCTTTCACAAACAGCTGTTGTGTTATAGATTATTTTGTCATCTCAAGTGAAGTATCTGTCAATGTTAAAGACATGGACGGAATGCCAATGCCAGAATCAGATCATATGCCCCACTGACCGGTATCAATACGTCTGTTGCTGTAGAACATATGACAAAACACTGTGAGAACACAAATCTTAACAGATTTTTTACCCCTGTTGGGGGATAATGTAAATATTACTGTTAAGAAATTATCAGATAGCATTATGTTCTGTTATTGTAAGGTACCTGATATGGAGGAAGCGTATCACGAAAAAAAAACAACTACCGTGGTTTGACTCTGAGTGCAGAAGTGTACAAGACTGATTATAATCTTCAACAGTATATATCTGCTAAATTGAGCTTTCAGAACTGTTGCGTCCAGAAGATAACTGCATGTAATTTGTGTCTAAGTGACGTTAGTCGTTGCACGTTACGTGGGTGCACTTAAACATATTGAAATGAATAATCTTGCAAAAGTGTTTTTTTCAGGTCAACGATGCCTGGACTGACGAAGGTTTGCGTGAGTGTTTGCGTTTGTGCGTGTGCGTATGTGAATGTGTGTGTACGTGAGCGTGCGTGAATGTGTGTGTGTGTGTGTGTGTGCGTGAGTGCATGTGTGCGTTTCATACTATGATACTTTCACCCCAGAATGTATCAGTTCAAGGATCAGGTCCGTCAAGATTGATTTTTTCGCGGGACAGTACTTGAAGTCGTTGGGGACAAACCCAGTTACAGTATTATGCGGTTGTTGGTAATCAATTCATTTTCGCTTGAATTAACGAATTGGACCAAAACTCCCCTCAAGATCATAACACTACTCTTTGAAGAATGCTTTATTTGCATACAACTAGGAAGAGCCCCCACCGCAAACCTAGATATTACGATTTTTCAAAAGGATTTCATTAACCTCCAGATCGTATTTGTATACGAACACTCATACCTCATCAGCTTAAAGTATATTCATCAAACATTGACTGAGGACCAATTAAACACTATTTTGTAAGAGAGTATATGCACACACACAGAGAATGGGACTGTACCCGGTCCTGGATGAAGTGGTGAAAACGGATTTCGTTTGCAACAGTTATGTGAAATCAAACGACAGCTAGAACAAGATTGTGTTGCGCTAGAGCGTTGCATAAAAAATATCACAGGGCCGTCAGTTACGTGGACGGCGTCGACACCGCCATGGTGGCAACAGGCATGGGATTAGGCACAGCGGGAGTTGGCTTGCTATCCACCATAGCGGCCACGCCCGTGGTGCTGGACATCGAAAAAACGTCAGGAGTGGTAGGCTTGGCGGGATTGGCGCTTAAGTATGAATCTTGCAGACTGCAACGTAAAGCGTTGAAACACGACGAAATTAGAGTTCTAGCCAAAGCGAAGCTCAACACCATAGAAGATCACGTTTCCACTGCGCTCACCGACAGTAAAATATTCGAGGAAGAGTTAAGTTTGGTGCTCTCGGAACTCCCCAAATACCACAGAATGAAACAAGAGATTCGAACCAAGTCTCGTAAAATCCCCGAATTCAGCGAAGACGAGAAAAAAAAGTTCGTGGAACAAGGGGGGCAACAGGTCCAAGAATCCTTCCTCACAACCAAACAAATTATTATCGGAGAAGATTCACGATATATTGTTTCGCAGACATCACAGCTGAGGCTGAATGAACACCCTTGATGATGTTAACAGTGTAAAAATTATGACCATAATATTTGCTGGTCACTCACCTAAGACAGATGTAAAAGGTTAAAAAAGAAAGGTTTAAAAAAGAATAAAAATAGCAAAACGTCCCCGGTAGCCACAATTCCCCTAGGGTGAAGTAGAAAAAATGGAGGTTGCGCCACTTCTCCATAGGGGACTTATGTGTCGGCTACCTTTCTCTCACCACGAGAGTGCCCCCAGTCAACTTAGCGCAGCTGATGTGATCCTGATTCCTTGCTACCACCAATGATACAAACGACAGTTGAAAGGAACCCACTGAGGCAATGGTGGGATACGAACTCACAAATGCATAGTTGAGCAAACTACACATCATAAGTGAGCACCTCAACAGATTGCGCTATCGGGACTTATTAGCTGCATGTCAGTTTAACGGGACAGTTTAGCGGAACGGGATCAGGGCCGGACCAAGGCCTCAATCTTGGGGAGGGCCTGGTCCCATTCCGCTATTGTGTATACTACTGAAGGTCAGTCAAGAGTAAACACTTACATATAGGACGTAATGGGTCAGTCTCCAGTACATACTTACATATAGGACGTAGTGGGTCAGTCTACAGTACACACTTACATACATGACGCAGTGGGTCAGTCTACAGTACACACTTATATACATGACATAGTGGGGTCAGTCTACAGTACACACTTACATACATGACGTAGTGGTTCAGTCTACAGGTCACGTTGCA